ATAATAATAATCTCAATCTTCGATTAGCTAGAACTAACTGGCCGGGTCGTCACTCTCTCATCTAGTGCTGTCAATACGGGCTGGCGGGGCGGGGCGGGCCAAAGCCCGGCGGGCCGCGGGCCTAAATGGGGCGGGCCAAAAAAGCCCGCTCCTTAGCGGGCCTGGGTTTTGTTGGCCCGGACCGCCCCGCCTTTGGCCCGCAGGCTAGGCGGGCCCCCGCCTCAAAACCATTTTTTTTTAATTATTAACTTATTGGTTATTGTTTTGTTTTGCTAAATTTATCCAACTGGTATTCTGGAATTTAACGTAAAAAAAATTAACATAATCTACTCAATTCATTATTCACACACAGAAATGATAGAATCCACTCAATTCATTAAACTTTCGCATAGCAACACACAATTTAACATAAATGCAGAATGCAAAATGAATCAAACAAAATTGAAGTTGGAGTCTTGGAGAGTGGGACTAGGATTTGTTGTGGACTTGTGGGTTGTGGCGTCTGAACTCTGTATTCTATAATAATATCTAAAGTAATAAAGTGTAAATATTATATATAATATATAAAAATAAAATAAAATAAAAAAACAGGCGGGCTAGCCCGCGGCCCGCCAAGCCCGCCCCGCCAAGCCCGCGGGCCTAAACGGGGCGGGCCAAAAAAGCCCGCTCTTTAGCGGGCTTCTATTTTTGAAACCCGCCCCCTACCTAAGTAGGGGCGGGGCGGGCCGGCCCGGCGGGCTAAGCCCGTTTTGACGGCTCTACTCTCATCAAACTTTATAAATAAAATTAGTTTTACAGGAGTATGGTGCGAATGTACTAATCTAATGTTTATATTTAAAGAAATATTTCAAAGTATATTAATACAAGATTATATAGGAAAATTCATACATAATAGGTAATTGAATGTATAGGAGAAATTCATACATAATAGGTAATTGAATGTCGAATTTATTTACTTAAATAGATAATTTAAAGTATATGAATGCAAGATAATATATGTGGTTCATTATAATATAATTGTCACTAAAATAAATGTTTGCTACTTTGTAAAATCGATAGCCTAAATACTTAGTCTAAAAACGATATGATAGTCTAAATATTTAGCCTAAAAATCATGCATAGTCTAAATAAATATATACTATTTTTGGTTTGAATTTTGTCTAAATACTTAATTAGTCTAAAAACCATGCATAGTCTAAATAAATATTACTTTTAGTTTGAATTTTTCTAAGTCTTCTTAATTCCTTTTGGGTAGCATTGTTATTGTCTTCATCTTCACTATTTGTGATCTTTTTTTTTTGTTGGTAGTATATGTCATTTGCAATACTGGGTGTAGGAAGCCGTGGATTTGTCTTGTTGTGTATATGATGTATGAACTCTTGATCTTGCAAGCACCTGTTGATATTTTGCCGTGGTATTTTTTTTCTACATGTTTCATGTGGAAGTATTGAATAAAATATTAATATTTATTATATTTGTAGAAAGTTCCTAAGTAGTACCTAATGTTCTATTTCTATAACTTGTTACTTATAATAACAACAATAATTCGGTAGTCCGAATACTGATATTGCAACATGTCCAGTTTCATCAGCAATTTTCACATCTATTTTGTATAATAATTTTGTAATAAATTTAATGTATGTGATATGTTGAGATCAGAGAAACTTCCTCCGATCCACCATCCATCTTCTTTTAACTTGCTTGGTGGAATTGTCTAAGAAATTAAAGCTTTAAAGCAATGCAACCGACGTGTCATCATGCCAGGTCAGCATCATATATATTATCCCACGAACACGAAGAAGACAAATGAGATAATATCAGCGGTTGCTGTCGACCATAAATCTTTGCGGCTCCGCGTAATACGACGACCCTTTCTGTCTAAGAAACTCCTAGGTGGTTCGATGTGAAACACGTTAAAACCTGTATGTATACATATATATTAGTATATATATACCCTAATATAACATCATTCCCTTCCATCAATAATTCATTTGCACTTTGCTAATTTCAAAAGAAAATCTCTTTTAATTTCTTAACAATAATGGAGGCAACTTGGTTCTCTCGCCGCCTGAACACGCTTCCGGCGAGGCGGTTTTTGGCGACCCCACCTCGTACCACCGGCGACAAGAAAACGACGGGGAGGATTATTATTGCGGCGGCGAGAAGGGGAGATAATCATCAAGATCACCGCAACAAGATGGTGGACGAGAACATGATAGTGCTGAGACTGAGGATTAAGGAGATGAAGGCGTTGGAGGGCGACGACGGCGACCGGACGGCGGAGATGCATTGGATGGGATGGGAAAAGGAGTACGTGAAACATTACAACGAGGATATTTGTGAATTCATAGGTTTGTTGCAGAGGTTTTTGATGGAGAATAGGCCGGCGTTGGGTTTGGGGTTGATGGCGGTGGTTCTTGGCAGTGTGTCGTTGTCAACTTTTGTTGTAATCATGCATGCCATGGAGATGGCCAAGGGATTACTGTCTCACCTTAATTAATTGAAGATATACAATCTTATCTCATCTTAATTTTAGTTTTCTTGAAATGAGAGTATGGCCAAGCGATCATAACTGTCTCACCTTAATTGAATACAATCTTATCTTATGGCCAAAAGATTGCGTACTGCCTTACCTTAATTGAATAGAATCTTATCTTTTTTGTTTTGGAAAGGATAGAATCTTATCTTAATTTTGTTGAAAATTGAAATGAGAGTAGGTATGGGGAATGAACTAGGATTGCTAGCTAGCTTCCATATGGTAGTAATAAATTTTAACAAAATGTTATCACGAAAAAAGGGTTTGGGGTCGGAGAAACACGCGTGCACACTATATATAAAATCAAATGTGGCTCTGCTCTCACATGCGATCATGTGGATATATCAGAACTGTAAGATGAACTAAGATAATAAGACAGATGGAAATCAATGAAGAAGAGAAACAGCGTGGGGACAATTTGTAATTTTGTCAACAATGAATGTTTTTGTGGTGCACTTAAGTTCTGATGTCTGGTGTACTTATGAGTGCTATATAGTGCATTACGTAATGCTCTATGGTGCACAATCAAGTGCCTGAAAATCAATTAAAAGGGAAAAAAAAACAGTAATATTTTTGTAATCTTATACACCATGTATGTATATTTCAGTGGTGCACTAAATGCTGATGTGTGGTACACTGCCCAAAAGGATAAAATTAGGGATGGCAATAGGTCGGGGAGAGCTACATCCATCACCCGACCCACCTTATATTTTCTCCACCCACCCCCACCTCCAATCCCGCATCGGGTGGGCTTTTTCAAAACCCACCTCCATTCCCACCAAGTGCGGGTGCCCACTACGAGTACCCACCACTTATCATCTTATTATTTTTTTCAAAAAATAATATTTAAATTACTTACACATAATAAAATAATAAAATTCATTAGTGATAATAAAACATAAAATAATAGAAATATTTAAATATAATAACTAAATTGTTAATTTTTAAAAATAAACTTAGTAGTTTAGATATAAAAATAGTAAAAAGATACACGAAGTTATATAAACTTTTATAAATAACTACATACGAGTACTTATTTTACTATTATATATATATATATATATATATATATATATATATATATATATATATATATATATATATATATATATATATATATATATATATATATATATATATATATATATATACTAGTATTTTTTATGCGTGATGCGCAAAAAATAGATGCCCAATATAAATACATTATATTAAAATTTTAAATTTATTTAAATTTTAGATATTTAAATTATTCTAAATAATAATAATAGTAATAATGTAAATCATTTTTATAAATTTGATATTTATATTTATGAAATAATTAACATATAACTCAAATATTTAATGTGTATATATTATTATTAATGAAGAAGATAAGAAAATATATGGTGGATGCATGTGCATGGTAACAATAGTGGAAAAGATAACGGAAGTTATAACGGTAGTGGTATGTTTGTCCAAAATATCTTAATGTACAACCTTTATAGCATAATGTACAAAAAAACTTAACGGAAAAAACGGACATAAATCATGGGTATAACTTTCATTCACACTTATTATGTTATATATATATATATATATATATATATATATATATATATATATATATATATATATATATATATATATATATATATATATATATATATATATATATATATATATATATATATATATATATATACATACACACATGGTGGGTCGGGTGGGGTTCTAGGCGGGTTTTGTACATAGAACCCGAATCCAACCCGACCCGCCGCGATTTACTTTTTAAAGACCTATCCCTGACCCACCACCCACCATCACCCAAAAAAACCCGATCCATGCGGGGTGGATTCGGGTGGATATCCGCAGGGCGGATTGAAATTGTCATCCCTAGATAAAATCACAATGGGTTCAATAGACCTGTTGAGTGATGCAATACTAAGTGCACCACATGTCACTCATATTTGCACCTCAATGCACTAATAAGTGCACTACAGTGCACCACATACCAACACTTAACGCAACACAAAATTAATTACACTTGGTATATTTCGGTGGTGCACTTATGAGTGCTCTCTATGGCACTTATGAGTGATCTGTGGTGCAACACCAAAAAGAGAAAAAAAAAACACACACACATTGGATTCAATAGACTCATTAAGTGGTGCAATACTGCGCGCACCATATGTCATTCAAAAGTGCACCATAGAGTACTCATAAGTACACCACAAATGTAGCACGTAGTGTACTGCCGAAATATACATAGTGTAAAAAATTACGAAATTACCACCGCATACTTTTTCCTCTTTATTATATTTTCATAATAAGTATTACATTCATCTAGATGACTACTAGACCCAACCATCCTGCGCATCCTCACAGGAGACTTACCATTAATTGATTAACTTATTTTAAAATTACATATTAACAACCACACTCCACATGCCGGTCTAATAATATTATTACAATTATGCCCGCATGGGTAGCTCAACTGGTCATAGAGGTGAAACTTTGGAAGAATGAACAGGGATTGAGTCCCACTAGCGACAGTGAGGGGACAACCTCTCAAAGTGAGGGGGGCTCCTTGTGCGCAGTGAGCACCGGTCTAGCCTCTGTTGTTCATGTTCAGTTGAGTCACCATGATTTACATCCTCCCAAATGCTCTGTCGGGCCGGGGTTGGGGTTCAACCTTTACATCCTCCCAAATGCTCTGTCGGGCCGGAGTTGGGGTTCAACCTTTTGGAAGAATATTATAACAATTATAGCAACTTTATTTATTTATTTATTTAGTTTGTAGTTGATAATTTCGAAATTTTCTTTTGTTCTTTTATTCAAATAATGATTATAACTTGCCAAAGACCTTATGATCAAGTAGCATGAAATGACTCTCTCAAGTGGGAGGTAATGGATTCGGAGTCAAGTATTGACTTGTTAGGTTTCAATAAGTTGAGAAATATATATATACATAATATTAAAAAAAAAAAAAAAAAAAAGTAATGACTATAAGTTTTATTTTGCTCTACTTCATAAAATTTTCAAATTTCAAATTAAAATCTTCAAAAAAGGTTTCACGTAAATAAACTTAAGTTTGAATATAATAGCTGCCAAAGAATAGCCAACGTACTCATAATGTCAACAGGGTCAGAGAGTATAATTAGATCATAATACAAATATTCAATATTAAACTGTTATATTTTAAAAGCTTTAAGATACAATTAACATAAGATATAAAATTCATAAATTTATTCCAAAATAATAAAGAGTATCATGCTGAAAATGTCGGCGAAAATGATTGGCCGCTAGAAAACTATCGGTTGTAAACATGTGAAGTTTGAGGAAAACAACATATTAAAATACACTAGTAAGAAGATACAATTCAAACTTGGGATAAATATATTATTTTACTTCCGTATTCAATATATATATATATATATATATATATATATATATATATATATATATATATATATATATATATATATATATACTAGTTTTTTATTGGGATAATGCCCAATGTTTTTTTTTTGAAAAAAAATAAGTACTTCAAAGTATATCAAAGCAAGATTATATTGTAATCGTTCATGCAATAATTGAATGTTGAATTTGTGTATTTAAATAGGTAATTCTAAGTTTACAAATGCAAGGTAATATAGTCAAGATTAATTATAATTGTCAATAAAATAATTGTATGGGTATGGTTGAAACCAAGTACGAAAAATAAGGAAGAGCAAATAAAAATTAGGGCATAAAATATTAAATATATACTAATATTATTTGAGAAGATTCCGACAGTAGATTTGTGGTTAGAGTTCTATTAAGAATTTAATATTAGAATTAGATTAATGGTGTTGTTATAATTCTATATTAGACTTTAATATTAAAATTAGACTAACCGTGAATTAAAGGTATTTAAGAGATAATCATATAATTAAGGATAAATTAGGAAATCTCAGGGAAAAATTAAAATATGAACAATCTGAACCATTCATTTGATTTAATAATTTGACGGTCATTTTTTCTATCCAATGTTTATAATTAAATAAATATTTTAAAGTATATCAATGCAAGATTATATATGAAAAGTTCATACATAAGTAATTTAATGTCGAATTTGTTTATTTAAATATGTAACTTATAGTATATGAATAAAATATAATGTAATATAGGAGATTCATTATAATTGTTACTAATTTTTTAAAAAAAATATATAGTAACAAAGTATTTTTGTTGCAAAGGGTTCTAATATATTTAATGAATGCACATATATATACAAGATCAATGAATGAATCAACGGTACCAGTCCGGCCTTTAGGTGTTTTGCTCAGTGTTCATTTAGTTTAAGGAATTTAGATGTAGTAAAAATTTAAAAATTTTAATTATAATGTCACCCAAAGGTATTAGACGATTGGTAAATATGATGTAACCCAAAGATCAAAATGCTAAAGAAAGTGTTTGGTTATTCAACAGTTTGAAGCAACAATTTGTTCCAAACCACTAAAACTACAAACATTGCAATTTACAATATTTTCACTTAGCATTTTTGAGAATAATTTTCACAAAACACCTCTATATTTAAAAATAATAATAATAATAATAATAATAATAATAATAATAATAATAATAATAATAATAATAATAATAATAATAATACTATAGAGCCATTTCGACTCATCGAATAACAATAGCCCGTTTCGCTGGCTCACTGCTTGCCCATCAACGGATGGGCAAGCTTAATTTTTAAATTGGAGCCTTAAGGCTCCTTTTATAGGAGCCTCAATGCTCCCATGCCACTTTTACCACCGATATGATAAAAGTGACAAAACTAAGGGGAGCCGAACGTTCGGCTCCCCATATGTTTTATTTGTTTTATTTTTTATTTTATTTCTTTTATTGAATAATAATAATAATAATAATAATAATAATTATTATTATTATTATTATTATTATTATTATTATTATTATTATTTAAACAATTATTATTT